TATATTTTTGATTTTTTATATTTAAAATAAGATGTTTATCTTRTATTTGATTATGTTTATCTGCAATTAATTACACGAATTCAGATATGGAGCTTTAATAAGTTGTAATTACGCACAATCTACTTGTAATCTAAAATTTTATGTAATATGCATTAATAAACAATACTTTACGCATAAAAAATAGTTTTAAGAGTTTTTGTCAAATGCTTTATAATATAGTATAGATTATTATTTTTTATAATTTAATTTAAGTCTAATAATGAAATAATTTATTTTTGGTTTAATAATATAACATTTTATAAAGATAATAATTAAGTATTATGTTAGAACCTAATGATTATCCTAATTATATTTTAGATTTTTTATATTTAAAATAAGATGTTTATCATATATTTGATTGTGTTTATCTGCAGTTAGTCACATAAATTCAGATATGGAGCTTTAATAAGTTGTACCTACACATAATTTACTTGTAAACTTGAGTTTTAAGTAATATGCATTAATAAATAGTACTTTATGCATAAAAAGTTATTTTTAAGAGTTTTTGTCAAATGATTTATAATATAGAATATATATTTTTTATATATAATTTAATTTAAGTAATAATAAAACAATTTATTTTTGGTTTAATATTATAAATTTTATAAAAATTATAATTAAGTATTCTGTTAAAATTTAATGATTATACTAATTATATTTTAGATTTTTTATATAAAATAAGATGTTTATCATGTATTTGATTGTGTTTATCTGCAGTTAGTTATACGAATTCAGATATGGGATGAAATCGGATAAGGATGAAATCGTTTAGGGATGAACGAGTTTAAGAGTTTTAAGAGTTTTTAAAAGTTTTAGTCAAATGTTTTATAATATAGTATAGATAAGCTTTACGATAATCATATATTATTTATTAATTAACCAAACAATAAACTTCACGATAATCAAACCCATTAAATTAAATGTTACCATGAATGGACGTATATACTTTTTAGGATTGATTTTTTAATCTTTTGGTTAAACATAAAAACTTTACAACAGCAGAACTCCTGAAACTAAACAAAAACTCGTCTACATAATCTTTAAGAATACGTTTGGTATACAAACCGGAGGAGACGAGACAGAAAAAAGTATTTCCATTTTAGTATGTAACCAGACTAAAAATCAGATAAATAACATGAGATAAAAACTAATTTTGATGGGACAAAACTTCTGATTTTTAGTAAATTGTAAAATTACAATATTACCCTCTATTAATGATCATGGCCTCTATTCTAATCTGTTGGCCAACTTCCTTCATCGCCTCCATAACTTCGACCTCAATTTCTCTGGGTACGGTTTCCATGGTTTTCGATTTTGATTTCTGAAGGTACGATCTCCATTCATCTATTTCGACTTCAATGGTTTTCGATTTCTAAGCTTCTTCAAATTCGATTCCATGGTTCTCGATTTCCATTCCTGGTTCTCGATTCCATGACTCCGATTTGTTCTAGTGAAGTCAATGGTTACTGTTTTGCATCTGTTTCTTTCTGATTTTATTTTGTAATTTCATGCTCCATTTTGAGTTCCATGGCTACTGTTTTGCATCTGTTTCTTTCATGAATATATGACTCTGAATTTTGACTATTGTTTGTTTTATGAATTTAGTAGTGATGGATCGAATCACTTGGTTAACTTGTGAATTTTGACTATTGCAATTTTCTGTGATTTGCTTAATAATTTGGTGCATTGTTAGCTGATGGTAATAGGACAATCGAGGAGCAAGTTGTTATATATATAAACATATTAGCACACCACACTAAGAATACAACTATCCAAATTAGGTTCTATAGGTAAAGGGAAATACTAAGGGGCCGTTTACCAAACACTTACTCAGTAAGTGCTCACGGGTAAAATTTAACACTATTGTTTACTTACAAGGTAAGATTTTAGTCCACCAAAAGGACAATGTATGCAACAATTTACCCGGTAAGCGCTTACCATGGTAAGAGTCGTCGCCATATTTCACACACAACAATGAAATGGCCACCCATGGTGTTGGTGGCAATTTTATTCATAATTGGGACATGAAATCCCCTACCAAATACATGTGCTATCATCTTTATCACCAAAATCAGAACAACGATAATCAGATGAAAACAACGTTAATGCATGACACAAATAACAGAAATAAAACGAAACATAGACCACTATGTGTATGCACCCCTTTGCAATTTCCGAATGAATATGGCCACCTTTACGTAAACCCAATCTTTCAAGAAATCAACAAAGTGAAAAAAAGCATGTCTTCCATGACGGTTGAGAAGTAAAGCGCCACATGCTACCCAAAATCCGGTAATAAAACCGGTTCCCCCACCAATAAGAAACCATGTCCAAAGCTCGTCTATGCCTTCTCCACCACCCTCACTTTCACTCTGGGGTGGTGCTTCTGATTCTTCATCTCCCTTACACTTTTTCGTAATGGGAAGTCCACATAGTCCTGCATTTCCGGTGTAGCTCGAAGGTTTAAAGGACTGGAGTTGGGTGCTAGATGGAATTCTCCCTGACAAGTTATTGTATGACACGTCTAGGTAATTCAATAAAGACATCCCACTCATGCTTGATGGTATCACTCCTGAAAAATTGTTTCTAGATAAATCCAATGTTAAAAGCTTTTTCATCTCACCAATTTTTCGTGGAATCTCTCCAAGTAAAGCATTCTTTGACAAGTCCAATACAACCAATTCATGAAGTTCAGTTATTTCATCTGGGATTTGTCCTGTTAAGTTGTTGCTTGACAAATCAATGCTCATTAAAAATCTCAGAGTACTCGTGAGTTCATGTTCATTTCCTTGCCATTCGGTTATCGCATAGTCAACATAAGTACCAACCATAGTAATATCACCTTCTTCGTTGTAAAGCTTCCCATAAACGTGCATGTTATTTTTTGGCAAGAACCTTCTTCTATGGACCATGGAATTCAAGTTATTTACACATGATGGGATAGATCCATTGAGGTTGTTGATTGACAAGTCTAGGATTTGAAGGTTGACGAGATGACATAGCTGTAAAGGAATGGGTCCAAAGAAGTTGTTTGATCTTAGGCTAAAAGCATACAACAATGTCAAGTCTTCCCCAACCCACACAGGCACATGACCAAAAAACTTGTTGGCCCCTAGATTCAAAAACTCCAACTTCGTGCAATTTTTCAAAGCCAAAGGCAATTCTCCTAAGAAGTTATTGTTGTATAAGTGCAACACCTCGAGTTGAACCAAATATCCTATAGAAGCAGGAATCCTTCCAGAAAAACTGTTTTGTCCTAGATTGAGAACTTTCAGTTGTTTGAAATGCCACAAACAGTCAGGAAGTTGCCCAGTTAAGGAGTTATGGGAGAGGTCAAGAAATGATAAGAACCCATCAACAATTTGGCATAAGAAGGAGATTCCACCATAGAATTTGTTCTTGGAAAGATTCAACGATAGCAAAGTGGGAGGAACATTCGGTATTGGCCCATAGAAGCTGTTAGAACTCAAGTCTATTGTTGAAAAGTCGTCAAAATTTGATAATAGATCTGGTACTTCCCCACTAATGTTGTTAGAAGAGAGATTCAAATATGTCAATTGTGAAGGCCATATCTCCCAAAATTCGACAGGAATTGTGTCTGAAATTCTAGCGTTGGCGATATTAAGATGGGTGATATTTTTGTATGTTTGAATCTGTTTGGGAAAAAGAGGCCCTACCTTGCAAGCACTCAAATCAAGATACTTGAGATATGAAAGGTTATGAGCTTTGGAAGGAATCACTTCGAGTAAGTTGCTTGAAAGATCTATCTTCCGAAGCTTTGACTGTTCAGTGTTTTCAAATGTAACACCTCCCCTAAGAGAATTAGAAGAAACATCTAGAGTTTGAAGATCAGGTAGTTCCCACACTTTTTCACTCATAGTCCCATTTAACTGATTATGAGATATAGTCAAAGTTTGTAGAGATGAAAACTTTATGATCTCATTGGATAATGACCCTGTAAGTTGGTTATCTGAAACATCCAACTCTTGCAATGTAACCGATGTGCATCCAGACAAATTGTTTAGAACATCAGAAARGTTGACARCTACAGAGTTTCCATAGAGAGATAAAGATGYCAAACTACAGAGATTTCCAAGATATTYGGGTATCCCATCTAACAGGTTGTTAGAGAGATCAAGATTGAGAAGTTTATTCCCCGCTAATGGGAACAACCAATGATACATGGATGAGTTGAGATTGTTACTCTCGAGTCGAAGAGATCCAATAGATGAAGAAGAAGAATTCACAAATGAAGAATATGGATACATGACCTCAGAGAGGTCACAATCAAATAAACTCAAATATGATAGTCTTGGGAGACTTAGAATGGCATCTACCCAGTGATTTGCTTTGGCTAGGGATATCATATCCATTTGAAGGTATTGCAAATGAGACAGATTAGACAACCAATCTAGATTTTCAACGGTACTTCCTTCAGAGGTTCCAAGTAAAAGGTTTTGCAAGTTCGTGAGGTTTCCAAATTCTAAAGGAATGGACCCATGAAGGAAGGTGTCGGAAAGGTCGAGGTACCTTAACTGGGTCAAGGAACCTATGGACTTGGGAATGGTTCCATTAAAATAGTTGTAATGAAGGTCAAGGTATGTTAACCGAGTCATGGAACCAATGAAGTCGGGAATGATTCCATTGAAAAAATTGGAGGAAAGGTCAAGATGGTTCAAGTAGGTTAAGTTGAGCAACGAAAGGCTAATCTCACCTCCAAGAGGACCTTCACCAAAATCACCGGTCAGATCAAGCTTTGTTACATGAGTTGTTTGTTTGTTGCACGTGACTCCACTCCATTTACAACAATCGTCGTCTTCAACCCTCCATGTAAGGAGTCGGCCATCGGGGTCTTGAAGGTGAGCTTTGAAATCAAGCAGAGCTTGTCTCTCCTTGTTGATAGCACCATTAGCATCTGCTGTTGCCAATTGGTGGCCAAGAGCAGTGACAGTTTCAGTGTGCAGACATAGCAAAAGAAGTGAGAAAATTACAAAAACAAAATTGATGGTGTGAATGGATGTCTTCATGGTTGATCAAAAATGATGGTGCATCAACATGAACCATGAAGATTTATATATATAGTGCTTGATAAGTGTTTAGATAAATAATTTAAATAATGATTAATCACGTATTGATATATTTGTGTTTGATATATAATTTAATAAAAACATTTGAGGAGGTGGTCGCAAGTTCAAATTCAAGGAGGAATAAAAATCCCCTTGTGGCTACGGAGATTCAAATATGGTGATTTCGGGCTATCTGTAAAGCAGGTGGTCGTCTTGAGATTAGTCGGCTCACATAACTGATTGGATTTCCAGGTTAATAAAAAAAACATTTGAGTATTATCAAATTTTGAAAATGCCTAAGAGGTCAAACAAGAAACATATATTAATGATACAGATAAACATGATATGGAAATATTTAAAATTTTAAATAAATTATGTCTAGTTTATAAAGTTTTATAACTTGATATAATTATGATTTAGACTTTTAAACGAACAAATTTATTATATTATATAAAATTAAATAAATCTGTTTATTTATCGATCATATTAATCTATACTATATTATAAACATTTGATAAAAACTTTTAAAATCATTTTTTATACATGAAGTACTGTAAATTGATGCACATTACTTAAAATTCAATATTACAAGTAAATTATGCATAAGTACAATTTATTAAAGCTCCATATTTGAATTCGTATGACTAACTGCGGATAAACATAATCAAATGGATGATAAACATCTCATTTTAAAATATAAACAATCTAATATATAATTAGGATAATTATCGAGTTCTAACAAAATAATTAATTGTTATCTTTATAAGAAAATTATATTATTAAACCAAATATAAATTACTTCGTTAATTATAATATAAAAAATTTGAATTACAAAATTACACAAAAATGAGGAATTTTAAATAGTTAATTTGATACTAATATTGATATATTTTTATCAAATTTTTATGATATCTTTAAATTTATATTTTATGAAAATTAAAAACGCTTTTTCAAAATCATATAAGACCATATTATAACATCGACTGAGATAAATAATAAAATAAAATATTAAAATCAAGATGTATCTTGTTATATTGCACGAATAATCTTGTTTCTAGTAATAAATTTGACCAAAAGACTCTTAGGATTTAAAATGATGCTATTGATAGCCATGACTTAAAAAAACCCACCCAAATTACCACGAAATTTGACTTGATTGATATTTTTCCCCTTTTTATGTCGACTCAGTTTTCTATATTAAATTGTCGTGTAATTCATGAAGAATACGAATTCCATATAAACTATATGTTATATTTTTTTTAAAATTTTGGAGATTTTTCTATTTATTTTATATCTTATTTTTTCTCTTTATTTTAAAGGAAAGTATAACATAGCGAAAAGGTGGACCTAATTTTTTTTTTTCAAGTTGTGGATAATTTGATTATAAGAAACAAAGATAAAGATATTTTTCACAAAATCATCATTGGTCAATTTGTTAGTTCTTTGTTTTTCATATCTGAGGTCTTTTGTTCGAGTCTTTTATTGCGATTTTTTTCTTCAGAAACATAGTAAATTTGAAATTAAAAAACTAAAAGCTAAGAAAAATAAACAAACGAGATTCAAACCCAGATCTAGGATGGGAGAAAAGTCATGCGACCAACTTTACTAAGAGAAACTTATGTCACTATTATAGTTTCATAATATATATGGTCATACTGAACAAAATGATCCGGTGACATATTTCACGACCCTATAATTTTTCACACTATAACGAAGGAACGAACGGTGACTCGTGTCACTGTATCCAATAGAGTGGGTCCGTCCCTGACTACTAGAACAAACTTTTTATAAATCTTTAAAATTTCTAAAATAACATTCTCTTACAAATAATAACAGATGCATTGATTCAAAGGAATTTCAACCTTGACGGAATTTTTTGAAACAAAACAAAACATAATTTCCATGAAATTTAAAGAAGAAATTACATTAAAAGTGGTTAGAAATGGGAAGACTCCCAAGTCTTGGTCAATTTGTATGTATTAGATGGTTTTTTCAAACTTCAACGATTTTAAAAATTCGATATCATAAAAATAAGTCGTGGAATATTATGACCTAAGAAAATAACAAAAAATAAAGAATTAAGGAATGATGTTTTATACGTTAACGAATAACGACACATAATAAAATTTAATTCTTGATGTCGATACAACTTTAAAACATGATATACAAATTAATACGTTTTTTATTTCACGATTTTTGTTAATGTTATACCTGACAAAATTCTATATAGCCCATAAAATACAAGGAAAAGACCTCTACTATACCCACCACATTTATATTTACGCGATAAGACGATATATCGTATAACTTTGCTAGAATTGTACATGTAACACGTTCAAGAAAATAATTACCCAATAATTAAGATACAACTTTGCTAGAATTATATATATGTATGTATGTAAATGCAACATGATGCAATAACTTAAGACATAAGTTGCAATTTGAATACTAAAAAGGTAATTGAATAATGTAATCAAATATATATCTTGATTTTAATGTTTTGTTTTTATTTATTTTTGTCTCGGTCAATGTTATAATATGGTTTTATGTGGTTTTGAGAACGCGATAATGTTTTTATTTCTGAATAAAATATAAATATATATATATATATATATAATATATATATATATAATATATATATATATATATATATATATATAGATATCATAAAAAATTGAAAATAAAATATTGATATTAGTACCAAACTAACTATTTAAAATTTCTCATTTTTGTGTATTTCTTTAATTCATTTTTTTAATTTTGGTTTAATAATATAGTTTTTTTATAAAGATAACTAAGTATTCTGTTACAACTCAATGATTATTCTAATTATAATTTAAATGTTTTATATTTAAAATAAGATGTTATCATTTATTTGATTTGTAGTTAGTTACACGAATTCAAACATGAAACTTTAATAAGTTGTATTTATGCGCAATTTACTTGTAATCTTAGATTTTAAGTAATATGGATCAATAAATTGTATTCATGCATAAAAATGGTTTTTTAAGAGTTTTTGTCAAACGTTTTATACTATAGTACTAGAACTATACTCGCGCAATGCAACGAGATACATCTCAATTTTAATGTTTTGTTTTATAATACGGTTTTGTATATAGTTTTGGGAAAATGATAATTTTTTTTATATTTGAATAAAATATAAATTTGAAGACCCATAATTTTTTTTATCGACATTAGTATCAAATTAACAATTTAAAAGTTCTATTTTTTATATTATCTTTTTAATATAATTTAATTTAGATTTAATAACGAAGTAGTTTATTTTAGATCTAATAATAGTTTTTTTCTATAAAAATAATTTTTAGTTTAATTTTTTTATTATAATTTATTTTAAGTTTAATAAAGAAATAATTTATTATAGGTTTAATAATATAATTTTTTTATAAATATTATACTTAAGTATTCTGTTATAACTTATTGATTATCCTAATTATATTTTAGATTATTTACATTTAAAATGAGATGTTTATATGTATTTGGTTATGTTTATCAGTTAGTTATATGAATTCAACATATAGCTTTAAAAAGTTGTGTCCATGCACCATTTACATATAATCTTGAAATTTAAGTAATATGCATCATTAAATAATACTTGATGCATTAAAAATGTTTTCAAGAGTTTTACTTAAACAGTTTATAATATAGTATAGATAATTTTTAGTTCAATCTTTTTAATGTAATTTAATTTAGGTTTAATAACGAAATAATTTATTTTAAGTTTAATAATATAATTTATTTTATATATAAAAATAATAATTATGTATCAGAACTTAATGATTATCCTAAATAGATTTTAGATTCTTTATTTTCAAGATGAAATGTTAATTTATTTTGTATTTGATTATATTTATCAGTTAGTTATACGAATTCAAAAGCTTTAAAAAGTTGTGTCCACGTATCATTTACTTGTAATCTTGAATTTTAAGTAATATGCATCATCAAACAGTATTTGATGTATTAAAAATGGTTTTTTTTAGGAGTTTTACCCAAATACTTTATAATATAATAGAATGATACCCACGTAATGCAGCGTTTACATCTCGATTTTAATGTTTCGTTTTATTTTTTATTTCTGTCGATATAATACGGTTTTATGTGCTTTTGAGAAAACGACAATGTTTTTATTTTTTGAATAAAATATAAATTTGAAAAATTATATCAATAAAATAAATTTTTATAAAGATAATAATTAAGTATTCTATTAGAACTCAATGATTATCCTAATTATATTTTAGACTTTTCACATTTAAAATAAGATATTTATCCTATATTTAATTATGTTTATCTACAATTAATTACAAAAATTCAAATATAAAACTTTAATAAATAATACATACATATTTAAAATAGGTTATCTTGAAATGTTCATCTTCAAGATAACCTATTTTACACATAACAAAGAAATGGCCACCCATGGTGTTAGATGACAATTTTAATGATAATTGGGACTTAAAAATCCCTACCAAGTACAACAAGTACTACATATATTTCGCTACTTAAGTAGATAACAACAACGTTAATGCATGTAACAAGAAGTCGAAAACAATAAGGAAATATAAACCACATTATACATACATACATACATATGCAATTATTGAATGAACGCTGCCACCACCTTAACTTAATTTCAGGGACAATTTTTTGTAAGGGGAGGTCCACATAGTCCTGCATTTCCAGCATAGCTCGAAGGTTCGAAGGACTGGAGTTGAGTGCTCGATGGAATTCTTCCAGACAACTTATTATATGACACGTCTAGGTAACTTAATAAGGTCAGCTGAGACATGCTTGACGGTATCCTTCCTGAAAAATTGTTTCTAGATAAATCCAAAGTTAAAAGTTCTTTCATCTCACCGATTTTTCGTGGAATCTCTCCAAGCAATGCGTTTCTTGACAAGTTCAATGCACGTACTTCATGAAGATCCGTCAACTCATTTGGGACTTGTCCTGTTAATTTGTTGCTTGACAAATCAATGCTCGTTATCAATCCCATATCGCGGGTGAATTCACGTTCATTTCCTTGCCATTTGATCATCGAATCGTCGATATAAGAACCAACAACTGTATCGCCACCTCTTTCTTTGTAAGCCTTCCCAGTAGCATGCGAGTCCTGTGTTGGCACGAACCTTCCATGAACCATGGCATCCAATTTATTCACACAAGATGGGATGGTTCCGTTGAGGTTGTTCATTGACAAGTCTAGGATTTGAAGGTTCACGAGATGACATACTTGTAAAGGAATGGTTCCGAAGAAGTTGTTTGATCTTAGGATAAGAACATACAACCCTGTTAAGTTCTGCCCAACCCAAACAGGCACGTTGCCGAAAAACTTGTTCGCCCCCAAATTCAACAACTTCAACTCGGTGCAATTCTTCAAAGACAAAGGCAATTCTCCTGAGAAGTTATTACTGTATAAATTCAACACCTCAAGTCGATAAGCATATCCTATAGCAGCAGGAAGCCTTCCAGAAAGATTGTTGTGTCCTAGATTAAGAACTTGCAGCTCTTTGAAATGCCACAAACAGTCAGGAAGTTGTCCGGTGAAAGAGTTGTGTGAGAGGTCAAGAAACGATAGGAACCCGTCAACGATTTGGCATATAAAGGAGATTCCACCATTGAATTTGTTTTTGGAAAGATTTAACGATACCAAAGTGGAGGGAAGATCGGGTACTGGCCCAGAGAAGTTGTTGGAACTCAAGTCTATTATCGGATAGAGGTTAAAATTCGACGACAAATCTGGTATTTTCCCGCTGATGTTGTTGGAAGAGAGATCCAAATACGACAATCGTGAAGGCCACGTCTTCCAAAACTGCACCGGAACCGTGTCTGAAATTCTAGTATTGGCGATATCAAGATAGGTAAGATTTTTGTGTTTATGAATCCATTTGGGGAAGAGAGGCCCAAGCTTGCAATCGCTCAAATCAAGATACTCCACATAGGAAAGGTTTAACATATGATCTTTCGAAGGAATCACTTCAAATGAGTTGTTCGAAAGATCTATATGCAATTGCTTCGACTTTCCAATGTTTTCAGACATAACAACTCCTCCAAGAGAATTGGAAGAAACATCCAGATATGTAAGATTGGCTAGTTCCCACACCTTTTCACTCATAATCCCATTTAAGTGATTATTGGATAGGTACAACTGTTGTAGGGATGCAAACCTTTGGATCTCATCAGACAATGACCCTGTAAACTGGTTATATGAAGCTTCCAACTTCAGCAATGACACAGATGTGCACCCGAATAAGTTGTTTAGGAAATCATCGAATTTTCCAACTCCAGAATTGCGCGAGAGGGTTAAAACTTTCAAACCACACAGATTTCCGAAATATCTGGGTATCCCATCCAACATGTTGTAAGAGAGATCAAGAGAGATGAGGCTTTTGCTAGCCAATGGGAACAACCAACGATACATGGATGAGTTGAGATTGTTACCAGCAAGATGAAGAAACTCAATAGATGAAGAAGAATTGACAAATGAAGAATAAGGATGCATGACCTCTGAGAGATCACATCCCTCTAAACTCAAATACGACATGTTTCGGAGACTTAGAATGACATCTACCCAGTGATTTGCTTTGGCAAGGGAAACCCCATCCATATCAAGGTATTGCAAATGAGAGAGTGTAGACAGCCAATCTAGGTTTCCAACCCTAAAACTTACAAAGGGTCCTCCAAGTGCAAGTTCTATCAAGTTTGTGAGGTTTCCAAATTCTGAAGGAATGGTTCCTGTAAGGAAGTTGCCGGAAAGGAAGAGGTACCTTAATTCGGTCATGAAACCAATGGATTTGGGAATGGTTCCATTCAAAGCATTGAAGGAAAGGTCAAGATACCTTAATTTAGTCATGGAACCAATGGAACTGGGAATGGTTCCATGAAAAGAATTGAAGGAAAGATCAAGAAGATTCAAGTAGGTCAAGTTAACCAATGAAGGGCTGATCTCACCTCGAAGGCCATCAAGACCAAAACTTGGAAGAAAAGCTTCACCAAAGTTATAGGTTAAATAAGAGGGCAGGTAAAGCTCTGTGACATGACCTGTTTGATTGTTGCATGCGACTCCACTCCATTTGCAACAATCATCTTGAGGTCTCCATGTAAGGAGTTGGCCAAGGGGGTCTTGAAGGCGAGCTTTGAAATCTAGAAGAGCTTGTTTCTCCTTGTGGAAGCACTTGTGAATGGAACCATTACCATCTACTGCTGGTGCCAGTTGGTGGCCAACAGAAGTTGCAGGTATCATGTGAAGGCATAGCAAGAGAAGACAGAAAATAAGAAAAATGAAATTGATGATGGGAAGGGATGTTTTCATGGTTGATCAAAATTCAGTAATCGTTTTTGTATTGATGAAAGATGCATGCATGATCATGAAGTGATGAAGGTTTATATATATATATAGAGAGAGAGAGAGTAGTGGTTGCTAATTAAGTTTGAGGAGGAAGACTTGATGAAGTAATAAATAGCCCAAGTTGGACGTCTGCATGTCTTGATCAAAATTATATTTATGATTACAAGGCGAAGTATCATTTTAGAAAAAGAGTTGGCGTAAAAAAAATCTAAATTCTTGATATTTTTAATCTCATGTTTATTAATGAATTACGATTTATAAAGGAGTTGATCGATACGGTGCACCTCATTAGTGTTGACATTCAATTATGATTGATTCAAAATTGGGTTTATAGGACACTCCTAATCTCTAAGCGTCCCAATAGATTGTTTTATAGAACTTAATTTATAGGACCAAAATATAAAACGTCTTATCTAAAGGTGTTGTAATAAGTATATAAGACGCTTTTGGACGTCTTAACAAGTTTTTTAGGACATTTTTAATATAAAACGTCATATTAACTACTTTATAGGACACTATTTGAAAAACTGTAAAAATTTGTTTTTATAGGACAGTTTTTCAAATAGTGTCCTATAAAGTAGCTAATAGGACGTTTTATATTAAAAATGTCCTAAGAAACTTATTACGACGTAAAAAAACGTCATATAAACTTATTACAACGCCTTTAGATAGGACGCTTTATTTTTTTGTTTCTATAAACTAAGTCTTATAAAGAGGTCTATTAGGACGCTTTAAAAATTGGGAGTGTCATATAAACCCGATTTTGTTATAGTTTGTTTCTCACCATAAATTCCTTTATCAACATAACCCAATCAAATATCATCATAAAAGAAGGGATCATGTGAGAATAAAAGTTAAGATGAAAAGTATAAGAAATGATTTTGATCCTTGACCACTTTTAATTCTGATCTAATGGTTCTCATGAAATCCCAAAACAACCCATAAATTAGCTTTAGAAAAGAATTTTTAATTAATCTTCAATTAGAATTGACCCAAAAATGAAGATCTTTTTTTATTCTTCTCACCATAACTCTTATTCTCACATGAATCCAACCCATATATATAAAATTTAATTTCCATGGAATTTAGAAAAGAAATACGAGATAAGTGTTGAATTGAATAAATGGTTCAAAATTAGAAGTCTTAAGTCTTGACAATTTGTATTTTTGATGTTTTTTCTATACATGAGAATGAATCTGGAAAATAAACCGATGGACCCGAATGTTGACGAGAATACATAGTAGTGACACGATGTAACAACGAACTATGGAAAGAATAACGTTGAACACGGTAGAAAATTGGATAATTGGACCTAAACTTCAATGACGCTTAAAATCTTCAACTTTAAAAGTCTTTTGTTATTATAAAAATAACGCGTATATTGTTATTACCAAGTAAAAATTAGGGTTAAATGCATGAAATCGCAACAATTACAAAAAAAAAAAAATATATATATATATATATATATATAGCATTGTAGTTTCAATTTTCCTCGTTATATCAATATACTTTCAAATTGCTATTTTTAGTAAAACGTTGTACATTGACAAATGTATCTGTTGCAACAATATGTAACTTTTTGATTTAAATTTAGATAACATGACATAAGTTTTAGGTTTCCATTTTATGTCATTGTTCATGTGGGCATTTTACATGTAACATATTGACGACCTGATATTTTTATTATAACATTGTACTTTAAAAAAAATTATTTAATAGATATATTAAATTAATTTAAAAAATTCTAAATTATTTATTAATATGACAATATAAAGAAGATCTAAAATCACAATCTATGTTGCTAATATTGTAAAGAAATGTTTAAAATGTTTATTTTTTGAACAAGGAAAATAAGAAATTGTGAATTTAGTTTCTATGGTTTTGAAATTCAATTTGCATTCCTATGTTTTGTAATTCATTTATATTTTCGTCTCTAAAGTCAAAACACTATTTTTAAGTATGAAAGACTAAAACATAAATGAATGGTAAATCATATGGACGAAAAAAGCATCAAAAAGAGAGATGTTAACCGGTTTAAAAAGTAACAAGTCACTCATTGTTATAAATAGTAGATTTTTCAAAGTACAGTGTCATAATAAAAAAATAATTTAAAAGTGTATTGTTGTAATAAAAAAGTGAAATTATAATGCTATAATTAAAAAACTTACACTACAACAAAATTGGATTTATAGGATACTCTCAATTTCTAAGTGTCCTAATAGGTCTCTTTATAGGACTTAGTTTATAGGACCTAGTTTATAGGACCAAAAAAATAAAGTGTCTTATCTAAAGACGTTGTAATAAGTTTATATGACCTTTTTTTGATGTCGTAATAAGTGTTTTAGGACACTTTTAATATAAAGCGTCTCATTAGCAACTTTATAGGACACTATTTGAAAATTTGTTCTATAAAAACAAGTGTTCTATAAAAACAAGTGTTCTATAAAAAATTGAGTTTATAAAAGTGTCCTATAAAGTTGCTAATGCGACACTTTGTATTAAAAATGTCTTTAAAAACTTGTTAAAACGCCCAAAAGCGTCATATAAACTTATTATAACACTTTTAGATAAAACGCTTTATATTTTAGTCCTATAAATTAAGTCTTATAAGGCGGTTTATTGGGACGCTTAGAGATTGGGGGGACGTCCTATAAACTCAATTTTGTTGTAGTGTTATGAAAGTATGTTGTTATTTTATTCATTTAACCTAATAATTGATGCTAAACTTGATGAATGTTCCGGTTGCAGCTACTACGCGGCTGTAAATAGCTATAAGTATAAGTTCAAATTTTCCTACTCAAATTTATCAAAATATCAATAGAGAGGGTGAGGGGAAGACATGAGGATGCGGGGTTACCCGTTATAGAGGGAGATGAAACGTCCAAGAGAAGTTTGCAGAAAACATGATTTTAACAAAAAGAATCAAGATCATATTTAACACATGAAAAGCCATTGAAATCCATCAAAATACCTCATGAAATCAATCGAACTAGAAATCCATCAAAACTCATTGCAATAATACCATAGGAACTCGAGTATATGCATAATGGCTTACTATGCACTAGCTTATTGCTATTGTTTCGTCTCCACTTCAGTCCTAGCTCTATATATCAGGGTTTCCAGGAGAATTCTGGAAATGCAGAATCCTGATATGGAAGGGTTTGATTCTATCAGATTGTGTATCAAGTAAAAACGATGGCACAATTTATAACATCAACGTCTTACCACTTTTCTATTTCCTCCAAATTATGAATTCTGACATTTGATATTATATATTACATCTTCATACAATTTCTATCATTGCTTCCCCCCAAATATAAACATATCATAACATTTACATTTTTTATCTATCTGATGACATACAAATAGACATCTACATATAGCCTACGATTCTATAATTGGATGTTACAAATATTGATATTGTATTAAACTATAGGTAAATCGTTCTATTAGAACGTGTTTGATACGTGGACATAAGAAAACAAGATAGGATATGACTAGACTAGTTGTCTCTATAGCGTTTCATAAAACTATCCAAGACGGATCATAATGTTAAAATTACCAAATTGTCCCTAAAATGATGTCTAATGTTTTTTAATCATATGATAGTTACGAAACATTTTTTGTATTAAAACCATTTATACATAAAAATAATTGATATTATATGTGTAAATTAAGCAATTATACAAGTAAATTTTACTATAAAAAACAAATAGATGCTAAGCCCACAATGGCACGGCGGCAGCCTAGTTTTAGTTAAGTCCCTGGGCCACTACTGATTTGTACAACAACGAAAATAAATATACTTCAAGAAAATAAAAAAAATGTTATAAATGTTTTTATAGTTAAGATTTTTAAGATTTAGTATTAAAAACACTTATAAAAACTTGAAAAACGTCAAAAACTTAAAAAAAAAACTTGAAGTTTTTCGTAAAAAACTTGAAAATCTTGTAGAAATATTAAAAAATTTGATATATAATTTATAAAAACTTAATTTTTATATAAAATAATCGGGACTATGTATATCGGTCCTGCACCAGCGTGAAAATTCTTAAAAATTGTAACTGGTTAAGGACCGTAAAGTCCCTCCCGGTCTCAATCGGTTGGACTGGGTGGGGCACATTTGAAAGTATTATTTAACTACCAATTAAGTACAATTTAGATAATAATTTAAAATATAAAGAAATTAAAAAAATGAGATGATAAAAGAACATGGGTGAAGAAGACTCAACCAATAGCTATTATTTGTAGTTAGGGCGGATATTCATTCTGGATTATGGTTAGTTTATTAAATACTAGTCCGGTAATTTACCGAATGAATATGGTAAGGACTTAGAAGCTTATCTCATAAGAAGAATGATAACGACCAAGAATTTTACCCAGTAAAAAGAATGACAAGGATAAAAAAAGGTAAGTGAGGGTGGTAACTCTTACTCAGGTGAGCATGACAAAGATCAGAATCTTATCGGGTAAGATTGTTCGTTGTTGCCTACTATGACAATTTAATGGTCGAGAATTTTAACAAATAAAGTAAGTGAGAGACTGAGAGTGGTGACTCTAACCGGCAAGTGCTCGGGTAAAGGCGTATTCTGGTATATAACCTCAATTAAATGACATTTTAATTAAACCCATTACCTTTCTAACAAGTATGAAGCCATTTTTTCTTTAATAAGTCAGGAAGTGATGGATTTAATTAAAATCTCATTTAAGGTTAATTATAAATGACCGTTCTGGTAATCAAGCCCTTAATCAATATATTAATAAAGGTCTAAACTTTGGTCTTGCATGATATAGAACAATTTTATGATACCAAAACACAATTGCAACAACGGTTTTCTGGGCTCATTTTGTAATTTTAAGAATCTAATCTGGGATTGGACTTTATAGAAAATAGC